ATCGGCCGGGCGTGGTAGCGCGCGCCTGTAGTTCCAGCTACTCGGAAGGCTGAGGCGGAAGGATCGCCGGAGCCCAGCAGGTCGAGGTTGCGGTGGCCGGGAGTGGCCTCTGCACTCCAGTCTGGGCGACTGAGTGAGACTCCAACTCAAAAAAAAAAAACAAGAACAAAAACAAAAAAAACAAGATACCGTCCAACTCCAACCTCCTTCCATCCTTCCCTGAAGTTGAATACCACCTCTCTATAAACACTGATTGTAATTCACACTTTGTTGATTCACTGAAAAGAGGAGCTATTGACCTAATCATCTAATAATAGCTAACATTTACAAATCATTTACCATGTGCCAGATCCTATGTTCATTGCAACCTACATATATTAACTCATTCAATCCCCAAACAATGCTATAAATAGGTATTATCATTGTCACCACCACCATTATCGCTATCACCATCATCTCTGCATTACAGATTAGGAAACCGAGGCAAACTAAGATTAAATAACTTCCCCAAGATCTCATGCCAAGTGAAGAGCAGAACTGGGGTTTGAATGCAAAGAGTCTGGGTTTAGGATCTGAGCTTCTACATCCCTATGCAACATTAGTTCTGCACCACTCTATTTCTTCCACTATCGGGCCACACAACCTCTTGGGGAGGAAGGTGTGAGGACTGGATGGTGCTTGTGTTGAACCCAAAATGATCTTACTTTATCAACTTCTTCTAGATCAGGCTCACCTGGCATGCAGGGTTTGCCTTCTTACAGAACACATACAGACTGGTATAATTAAGTCGTTGATTCGCGTTCAGACATTCCTTGATTCTCTGTTGGGATGCCTGACTTGTGAATTATATGTGGTCAATTCACTTTACTTCTGATGGTCATGACCACTGGCCCCACACAGTTCACTCACCCAGATTCCTTAGAGAAGGACCCTGGGAATATTACTGAAAAAGATTAAATAGAAAATCACTCTTAAATGGCAGGATTCTTAGAGCTTCAACTGTCTGTTGCCTTGAGGAGCTCACCTTACATGTTGCTCTCCACCATCTACAAACAGATGATGCACACTTCTACATCTGTAGCTCCGGGTCTTGCTCCCCCTCTCCAGATCCATAAATACAAACTCCAATGGAACATAGGCTCTGCTGTCTCCACCTATCCAGAAGTGAACTTATACTTACCTCCCACCCCTCCCCCATCAGTTATTTCCTGCTATTTTTCTTTTTATTTTTGAATTGGAGTCTCACTCTATCACCCAGACTGGAGCACAGTGGCCGCTCCCGGCCACCACAGCCTTGACCTGCTGGGCTCCGGCGATCCTTCCGCCTCAGCCTTCCAAGTAGCTGGAACTACAGGCGCACGCTACCACACCCGGCTAATTTTTTGATTTATCGTAGAGATGAGGTCTCGCCTGCCCAGGCAGGTCTCGAACCCACGGGCTCAGGCAATCCACTCACCTCAGCCTCTCAAAGCACGGGATTACAGGCTGAGCCACTGAACCCGGCTATTTCCTGCTGTTTTTAGTTCATCCAAAGTCTAAGCAAGACCCTTGAAGTCATCCAAGGCTCCTACCTTCACCTTCAAAAGTACAGTCACTCAATCCTGTGAATTCTGTTTCCTAAAAACTATTTTAATTCTTCTCCTCCTCTGCTCATCCTGAATCTCTGGGGCTGTTGCCTCTACTTCTTCTAGTCTACCTCCCTCAATCTCATTCTCCACCTTGCTGCCAAGTTATTCAAAAGAGGAAAATCTATTATCTTGCTATGACTTTCAAGATAAAGTTCAGATATACAAGAATCCTCAAGACCTGAAAGCTGCCTTCCTCACTTCTCATATTTCCCATATACTCTTTCTGTACTCACACACCAAATTTCAGGGCTACCAAACTATGAATTATGAATTTTTTTGTCACATAGCAATTCACTACCAAAGGAATGATTTTTAAAAAATTATGAATGTATGTGTGCCCCCCACAATTCACATATTAAAACCTGATCCCCAATGCGATAGTATTGAGGTAGGTCCTTTAGGAGATGTTTAGATCTTAAGGACCCTGCCTTTATGAATGAGATTAGTGTTCTTACAAAAGAGGCTATAGTTAGATCAAGAGTCTATTTTTTTGCCCTTTTGTCAAAAGGACAAAAACAAGGCACCATTGTGGCAGTGGAGAGTGTGCCTTCACCAGACACCAAATCCACTGGTAGCTTGGGCTTGGATTTCCCAGTCTCTAGAACTCTGAGCAATAAATTTCTATTATATAAATT